CGCACACACACACACACACACACACACACTCACACACACACACACACACACACACACACACACACACACACACCAACGCGGGCGAACGGGACCGGGCGGAGCTTCCTTCGACAAACCTTTCCCTTTTCGTGAGCGATTCATGGAACGCCCGTCCGGATTTGGTATATAGGGCTCTGGCAGCGCACGGCTACGCCAGGGCTACGCATGGCGTGGCCCACACTGTTTCGCCCCGCGTCTTGAACGGTCTTAGCGCCATGTGCAGCACACACTGTGAAGCACACACTGTGCTGCAGCGGCGTTGCGTCACGGATAGGCCCAGATTCGGAAGCCGCATGGCTATAGAACGACTTGAGTGCACTTTACTTGTCTGTCTGTCTGTCTGTCTGTCTGTCTGTCTGTCTGTCTGTCTGTCTGGCTAGCTGGCAGTCTGAACGCGTGAACCCACCAATGGGTTCCTCGTTCGGAGAGCAGTCCATTGGTGGGGTCACACGTTCGGTTAGAGTCCCTTTTTGCGACTCTGGAGCTCAAAACGCGTTTAGGATTTTGACCGCCCCACCGGTCTTCTGGCCCACTGTGTTTCCAGACTGGTTGCGGGGTGGCTTCGAACCGCTTCGAACGCGGCCGCGCGTACAAGTGCCACCACATATGGGCACGGCTGAGGCTGTGGGATCACGGGCACTACACTGTTAGCAGAAGTGCCAACGAGAGGGAAAAAAAGGGGGGATTGAAAGATGAAGTGTAAGGCAGTGCAGGCCGTTCCTCCAATCCAACTGGACCACCGATGCCCAAGCAGTCCACTTTACCATTGCCCTGCGCAGCGCGCTGCGGCGCCTTCAAGTGGTCCACTTTTTCCAAACTGCACTAGAGCAGTCGTGCCAACTGTCGGAGCCAGCCGGGCGGAAAGTAAAACTGGGATAAATTAATTCCCGCCGCACGGTGGGCCAGAAGACCGGTGGAGGCGGCCAAAACTCTAAACGCGGTTTGAGCTCCAGAGTCGCTAAATGGGACTCGGACTGAACGTGTGACCCCACCAATGGATTCCTCGTTCGGAGAGCAATCCATTGGTGGGGTCACACGCGAGTCCCATTTAGCGACTCTGGAGCTCAAAACGCGTCTACAGCGA